CTACAGTATACATGCCAGTATGAAGTATTCTGAATAAAATAACTGTTTGTATATATGACACAAGAAGAAATTTCTCATAAATAAATAAATATAATTAATAATGTAAAATCTATTTACTCTTTAATTATGTTCTTAGTTTATCGCACATCAAATACGTTGATATACCTATGTTTATTCAGCCGTTGCAATATAAATACATACATGGTGTGTGGTTTGAAGTCACCGTTTACCGTGTTAATGAAATATTCGCCGTAGATTTAGTTGCCAGTTTAATCAACTTCAAAATCGGTTACATGTTTTAATTAATATTCTCTAATGAAGTGGACTAAAAATAAATAATAGAAAATACATTACTAATATATAATCTAATTATGAGGTGATGGTTTTTTTTATTAGAATTTTATATTTAACTTTTTCTTATAACTTATGACATTGACACAGTATCAAAAATCGTTACATGTATGGTCTAGTAATACAGATATTTTCAAGTCTACATGAATTGATAACAAAGAGCTTTCAATGCCTTAAGAAATCTATATTCTATATATAATTTTACATATATATCTAAAATATTCAACCATTAATGTTGGCCTATCAGATAAGTCCAAGATGAGTCTGGCTGTTAAACATCAGTGTAATTACGACTAAAGTGTCGTCTGGACATCTGTCATTGTAAGTAAAATCGTGTGACATTTCATTGGTCACGGCTACCTATATACTATTGTATATTTCTTATATACTAATATTATATATAAAGCAATCTCTTTTTGTTTATATTTTATACTAGAAGACCTGACGAACTTCGTATCGCCCTATAATCAAGAAATATCTATTACATTTTTTTATTTATATTTTTGGAGTTTACCTATAAGCCATAAATCTCCGTGTTTTGAAGTGCGACAGAATGATTGACATATTAGTTAGTTGTCAAATCTAATGTAAAAAAAAACGTTTGTATGGGAAATAGAAAAGGGCTGTTTTTATGGTTTTCCCAGTAATGAATCAATTTTTTTCAGCTTTTATACCTTCCCTGAACCTCCACGAACATTTCAAGACTAAGATAAGATAAATCCGTTCAGCTGTTCTCGAGTTTTAGCGAGACTAAAGAACAGCAATCCATTTTTATATATATAGAAGATAAATCTCCCTTTGACAGCAAATTCTATATTAAATGACATTATCATCATGTTCTTTACAAGTTCTACGAATATCTCAAGTCTTACAAAAAGTAAACAAAAATTTTTAGTGATTTGCTTGTAAGAATTTTGACTCATTAAATGAAAATTTAAAAGCTTAAACTTCATTAAAAATAAGTATTGTTTTGACGAAATGCCTTAAATTAATTAATAGGCTATTATGGAAATTGACTATAAAAATATTTTATTTTGACTTTATCAAGATTGTAAATAGTTGGAATTTGATAAAACTTTACGAGAAACAACGCTAGAAATAATTAATTTATTTTTTTCACAAAAAAAAAACAAAAACAAAACAGTAGCAACTCATTAGTGGAAATGTTTTTAAAAAAGAAAAAAAAACAAAGTCCTTATTAGGAAAAGGTATTTTATAAACAATTTTTATAAAATTAGTTCCCTTTTTTATTATTGTTTTGTCAATGCTAATATAAATATTCTAATTAAGTCAATATTGTTATCATTATTTTTTTTATATTCATCTTTACTTTTGTTTTTTACGATTGATACTAGACTGAGTCAAGTTTTTTCTACTGTTCAGTGTCTTATATAGCACCTGGATATAAGTCTGTCGAATAATATTCAGTTTAATTGTTAACATTTTTTGTATTTTTTCTTAGGCAACTTCTCTAACAATTTTATACAGTTCTTAGTACTTAGCTATAGCTTGCTATAGATGTTACTGAAAGAAAGTGATGGTTAATGCAAAAAATAAACTAGACTATGTCATATTATTCGAAATTTAAAAATGGTATTAATTGCATTTTAATTTTATGATAGGCTCTAAATGAACAACAATAATAGAAAAAAAAATTACATACATATTAACATAATTTTGTTTATTTAATAATAATCTGTATTCATTACCATATAAATATTTTATAATTATCATCATTATCTCCATTCAACTATAATTCTATGCCCTAAATAAACCACGTCTACTTTATAATTAAATTTCAAATGTTTAAACTGCAAAATCATAACTTTCAAAATTATAATGTAAATATCAAGCACCACAAAATTTGCATATCGTATAATATGTAGAATTTAGAACACTATGTTATGCTTTTCAAAGTTTCTGGATTCTGGAATGCTTAATATAAAATGAGCTTCAGTTTATGTAAACCAAGATCTATTAGAACTGAGATGATCCCTTTCTCAACTATAAAACTTTTATTCAACCAGCAAGGACATCTAAAGAGTGTCGGATACCATATTTTTATTTCTAACGCAACTTTATTTTTATTGAACAGACTAAATCCAATATTTCATAAAATCCTTATAATTGGTTTAAAATGGAATGGAGTTGATTAAGTAAAATATTTATACAAGTTTTGAATGTATACATATTTTTATAGTTCATCTATCCAAATAGTTTTCCAATAAAAAAATATAATCGTCACTGTAATATTTTAGAAATTAGTGCGTATGTTATTTCTGTACTGCTTTATAATTGAATCGAATGTGCTTTTAAAAAAAAAGACAAAATTCAAATTTTTGTTATGCTAGAAACTTTGGTAAAAATGATATATCTTATATGACATTATTCAATAATTTGATTCCATAATGAAACTAAATTTACTTACATAATGAAACTTCTTATTGCTTCTTTTTCTTATCATTATTACTCTAATAGAGAATTAGAATCACATTTTATATTTAGGAAAGACTTTTATGTACGAAAGTAATATTTCCCACTACAAACATTACGTACTTTCATTACTTATCTAAAAATATTGTAATAGAATTAATGCAATTAAACTGCCACCGATTAATCTATTTGACGGTACGAGATCCTGCGATAGTTAGTCAGTCTGGCTTTTTTAAAACTGCAATCAAGAATACAACTAGTGTATTTTATTGCTATTACTATACTTGGTATAAGAGATAGAACCGTTAAGTATATTTAATTAAATAAAATTTAGAAAAGCAATTGTCATACATCTTTTTCTACAGTGTTAATACATAATATATATATATACAGTAATATTTTAAATTTGAATTTGATTAGACATAACATAAATTTCTACTAACTACATCACAACTACGTAACGACAACCGAAACGATTTTCCCTGTGGACTATGTTATTAAAGTAAATTGCGCTCTATTTATTTTGCAATTACGCTTTAAATAAAATGGCTCAAGAAACAAATACTTAACGTTTTCCGTTCCAGTCACTGGGTCGTTATATATAAAAATTTAAAAAGCACATAATGATACATTAGTATTGATAAAATAAATGCAAAAGTAAAAATAAAAAGACGAAGTACACTTTAAGAAGGAAACAACAATATGAGTATTGAAACAATTGAATATAAATTTCTAATTAATTTTTACTCTCAGTTATTAAGAGTTTACTAAATTTTATGATTATAAATAAATATTATGAATTGTGAAAGTACTTTCATGTGCCGACCATATCGTCTAACTGCAATCTCTCAGAGGTAACGCTTTTACAAACAGCGGTACATAAAATATAAAATGAAGAAGTCATTGGTGTTATAAACATACAAAATTAAGTTTTATCTTTATATTATGGAGAGTATGTTATACTTTGTCGGTCAAATATAAAGTTCGAAACTTTGAATTTGCAGCGACAAACATATGAAGAGTTTTGTACACTTGTTCAAAGTATATAATAATTAGTTTACTTAGCTATGCACTCAAGAATTTTTAAATGATTTTTTTTCTCAAAACTTACACCATCAAACATCCAGAGATTGCAATTCTTTGTAACACCATCGGTTCAACAGTGAAGTTTTCACTACGAAATGATGAGTTTAAGGCTGGCCGCATACATACGTAAAACGTATTCGTTTTCCGTATTCGGACACCTGAATGCATGGAATCAGTAGAAAATACATTATTTGACGCCCACGTTCGCTTTTTTTTCGAACGGAATAAGTTCCGCACGTACGTTTCGTTTGCAAGCTGGGGCGTCCGGAGAAACCTACTCGAAAAAACCTAATGACGTCATGCGGAATGCAGCACTTGTATACATTTTGTTTGTGCCGGCGCACACGTTCGGAAATTTCTATTCAGTATCGCGCCCGCACCGCGCGCATCAGACTTATCTATTGGTAAATTTGTAACCCGATAATGTGTGAGGCAGAAACATTAATACTAGAAATCACAGAATTTATCTGGGTGTGCACGTAACTTAGTTATCTTCAAATAATACGGACTCTCATAGACTTTTCGAGTATTTAGTGGATGTATCCAATATCGACGACGTTTCTTTTTCTTATTTATTAATTAATAACAGAAATGCAATTGCTAATTAAATCGTCGTCCTCCACCGTTGTTCGTTCGCCACGATATCACTATCCGTACTGAAGTAGATCCATTTCAAATGAAGAAAAACGAATGTTTGCGCTAGTCTCACGGAATTCCGAGTCGAAATTACGCATTCGGAAAACAAGTAGGTTTTACGTATGTATGCGGCCAGCCTAAAGCGGAATCCAGAAGATGCTTAAGTTTTGGCAAAACTTAACTAGAATGAAAATATAAATTTCATGAGTTACAATTTAAAAAATTTCAAAGGTTTTATTTGTAATGGTAAAAGGGCCCCTATGTTTGTTCACTATTACAACTGCATACTACCTTTTACTGCACGGTATTACCTTTAATAAATTTATTAAAAGTAACAAAAATATATAAAGAATACATAGAAGTAAAATAATTACAAATACCAGATTGCACGCGCTTGGTGAAAAATTGTTTTATCCAGTCAAATCCAATCCAATGACAGGAAATAATAGTTTTTATTGTTTTCCAGTTAACGCAATGGTGGGCTGAGATCAGTGATGTGGGCTTACATCCTAGCCGCAGCACGCGGCGACTCTCGCAACGCTATACGCAAGCGTTCGACCGCAACTAATACCGACGATCACCTGAATTCGTAAGTTATATCTAATATGTGTTTAATAATGAAAGTATGTAATATATATGTATTATAAGAGAGATACAATAAGTTTAAGTCAGCAAAATTAAAACTCCACACCTAGCGTTATTTATTGAATAAAGTTTATTCTATCACTCTTCGGGACCCGGTGCATTTGCACATTTTAAGTGTGTTAGGATTAGAAATAGAATAGGAAAATGTGATTTTGATGAAAAGATTGTATGATATAATTGCAATAACTATGTTACCCAGTTTATTTTGATCATGCATGGGTTGGTTGTCGCACGATTATTCAGCCGGCCCAGTTACCTTCTGCAGAACAACAATAGAAGCATTTATCAACATTACACTTGGAAATTATAGGACATTGTAGATTATGTTACCTCTTGATAGTCGATACTTTTATATACGTTCTTTTCTATGCCTAGGTCCCTAAGTTTATGGTTTTGGTGGATTAAAACTGGTGTTTTATCACTAAGATTTTAGACAATGCCAAAATGTCGGATTCTCGGAATGAAATTCTCAATCCTATGGTGTATTCAATATCAGTTTTTTTTAAATAAATTTCTTGTTCTCGTGTGTTACAGCACGAAACTTTGTCTTATTTGCAGGTTATTTGATCTTATCTGTTTATTTAAAAAAGAAATGTATTTGTTTTTTTCGCAGATGTTTTTAATGAACAAAATTATAAACTAGAACAACTAGAAGACCCGGCGAACTTCGTATCGCCCTATAATCAAGAAATATCTGTTACGTTTTTTTATTTATATTTTTGGAGTTTACCTATTAAAGCCGTGTTTTGAAGTGCGACAGAATGATTGACATATTAGTTAGTTGTCAAATCTAATGTAAAAAAACCGTTTGTATCAACAACTACTAATAAATTTAAAATTAATTGAAAAAACATTGTCCAGCGGACAAAATTTTGAATCTGAACTATTCCCAGATCCTCTTGAACACACACAAAAAATTTCATAAAAAATCGGTCCAGTCGTTTGAGAGAAGTTCAGTGACATACACACTCACAGAAGAATTATATATATAAAGATTACTTGCAACCTATAATAACTTTCGATATAGTATGAACAACGATATAGAATGAAATTAAACTATGTTTTTTGAATATACTACGCGGTTTTATTTCATCTCGTCTGCCCGTGATCACGGTTGCTGTAAAGTAATCGAAACGTCGAGAAAATGTAAAATAAAATAATAAAACCGCGTAGCATATCCGAAAAACATAGTTTCATTTCAAATGTGTACTCGTGGAAATGTTAGATTTCATACAATAAACCTATTGTTCATTTTATTGTTACCTATGCACTATAACACTAAGTAAATGGTTTGACATTCATGTAAATATTTTCATACAAAGAAAAGTTTTGTTTACATTTCTAACTTACGAGTGCTAATAAAGTCTCATTGAGTCGAATACTTTATATTGACTTCTTATTATACATATTTTAAGGTACCGTGAAAGCAAAGTCTTCATGTTGCCAAGTTCAGTCCCGGGCCCATCGGGGCTTAACTCTCGTAAGGAGTATAAAACCCCTAAGCTGTATCCAAAAAAAAGATCTCCACCCTCTATACATCCGATGACCACTTCTATTTCAAGCAAACTAGAGGAGGGCATCGAGAATTTCGAAGAGGTAAATAAGGTTTAAATTATTTTGATTTGAAAAAGTAAAAACTTTTTTACATAACATTTTTACTTTTTTGTTTAATGTTTAATAATTTGCAACGACACATCAATCTCAGCCAGTAATCGTACAATATAATACTTTTTGTGAGTTTTTTGTTCTGGTTGGTATTTACCGTGGAATAAATTAAAATTAGAGAGAATAAAATTTTTGGTTCATTTAATAAAATACTCGTAATGAATGATCTTTGTTAATCACGAGGTTATGACAATAAATAAAACTAATCCAAAAATATGAACACATCCAAACGTTTCCTCAATAATACATAAAAGAGAAACAATAGCCTCACAATAACGTTTTTATTTGCCTAGGTTGTTAAAGTTACATCTTCATCCTGACCCAACAATTGAAGCGACGTAAAATAACGCCCACTAACTGATATTATGTATATCAATTATAATATTTTAAATGAAAATAAATGCATTTTATTTCTTTTAAAATTGTACCGAAACCATAAACAATATTTGTAATAATAAAAAAAAGTCATTAGTTAGAATCACTTTTAGATTTATGTCATCCTATAAAATAATTAAATTTAAAGTGTTTTATTTTATCTTTAAACATCAAATACAGTCTATTGTACGACGTAGTGTATGCGGTGAGACGTCTGTCTACGAATGATATAACAAGATACATTTAATCTAAGTAGTTCTTGACACGCAGACATGTCGAACAATAATAGACAAAACTCCTTTTTACGTATATTTATCTTTACACTTTCATTAGTAATTTTGACCCGACCTTGAACCTACGTCCATTTCTCAAAGGGAGGACGTTGAGCAACAATGACAAATTGTAATTTAATGAATGCGCATAAAACTACGATGTTCTGGGAGGATATATGAATTAGGGTAATGTAAGATAATTTTGATAGAAAAAAAATATTTTTTTCCACTGCAATGTACAAATCTAATTTTATTGAAAATATTTTTGAACTCCAAATTCCAATATATTTTTATATGAAATTTTGAGAGAAATTTATATTGACATTTCAAATTGTAATAAAAATAGTAACGATGATTTCTGACTATATGCATAATATAGATTTGTACATAATAGATTAATACACTGTTAATTTTAAAAGTAATTAATCATCTGAGAAGATGATTCCATATGAAATGCATTAACGTATTAATTCATTTGTAGTTTTCTTTTAGAATTCGTTTTATAAATATGTACCTTTAATAGTATTCGCAAGTAGTTCGTAATATCTTTTACGTATCTTTCGTCAATTAGCTGAAATGTTTTCCCACTATAGACGATGATCAGTTTAATGTATTAGGCTTTAAAGCGGGCAATTTCACTTATGGCTAAGGTAATCAGTATTTACAACAACAGCTACATATGACAAACACTACCTAAGGGGTGATATTAGATTCTACTTTATGTTTTATTAATTAAAAAAAATTAACCATTAAGATGTATTCGTTGCACTTTAATATGAATTTCATAATTTTTTTTATCTTTATGTTAATTCTTTTTAAGGGACATAATACACAGTTAAATCAATGATACTGATATATATTGTTTGTATATATTTTTAATGGTGCACAACCGAAAGCCAACGTTAGAGGGGAAGTTGTTCGCGATCATGATCCATTGTTTGTTTCCCGCCTTGAACACGAACAGACTTAATTTTGATGTGACCTCTCATTTTCAATTCGACTGTCCAAGAGGTGGCCGTAACATTAAACTTGTGATGTGTATCAGTAATTTGTCAGCTAACACATTTTAATTTAAGTTCGTGGCCGTCGTAACTACAGATATATATCTCAAGGAAATTTAATGATCCAATTTCTATTAGGTACAATGCAATGTGAATAGGAAATTAGAAAGTGAATTGTATTATGACACCAGTTTTAACGTTTACACAAATGGGTTTTGGAAACAATGTCGGATTGGTGAGTTTAAATTTACTGAAATATTTTTAATTTCACAAAATTATTATCGAGGCAAAACTTTACTTTCAACTAATTGATATTAACTTTCAAGCTTTTCTAGAAATTTAATAATTGTGACCTTTAGAAATGGTAATTTATTTTAAAATTAGTTATTCTGTTATAAGCGTAAATTTATTAATAAACAAAATAAATTATACTCGTATACGGTGGTCTTATACGTGGTGGTGGTATTAAAAAAGTCAATAGATCTAATCAAAATAAAATTTATTAGAAAATTTATATATTTTTAAATACAATATATACCTTTTGAACCTAACATCTACAAATACACTTATCGGATATTTTATCACATTAACTGCAACGTAAGTAACAATAATTTGGTTTAAAACACATCGCAGCCCAGGGAGGTTTTTAAATAGAATAGGTCACAATTTTAAAGTCGTAATTTAAAACTTGCAAAATAAATGTTTCTCTACTACCATACCCCGAAAATATATCCAAAAAGAGTGGCAAGCTGTTTCCTAGTATTTTTAATGAAATATTTTTGTATATGTAGTTTAAAGCATTATTGTAAAATGAAAAGTAATTTTTAATATACACATTATTATTTTTAACTTTAAAATAAAATGTCCTGTAAAATAATATACTCACTTTGCATTTCGATATTTCTTTAACCATGTTTGTAAGAATTGTTTTATTAAGCAACTTTAAAAAGGAAGAGGTGTTTTATTAACTTTTTTATATGTGAGATATGTATATATATATGTATATGTACCTATAACTAAACAATTTCTATTGATGAACTAAATAAATTCTATATATGATTTTTTTTTATTTTCATTTCATAATGAACAAATTAGATAAGAGACACTATTAAAGTCTCGCTGACAAAGTTATTCTTCATTAAGGTCATCTTTCTTTCTTAACAGGTTTCTTTTATTCATTCCATATTCAATTAGTGTATAGAACTTTTAACATTGGAGTCATTCGTTTTTTTCATACTTGATTCGTGATAGTACCAATGATTAATTGTTAATACAATTCAAACCTTTGTATGATTTTGTTATAGTGCTCGCGTTCATAACTCTCGTGCTGTCCTGATAATTAGCCAATTACAAATCATCGAGCGTTAATACAATACGTCATATAATAAACCATTTTGTCCTTGATTATTTGCATTTTTATTGCACGTTGAGACGACATTAAATATTATATGTAAAATTAAATTACAAATATATTTTTCTAAACTATTTTCATAATTGAAAACTAATAATATTTTTTGTAAGAAACACATAGATTATATAAAAATATTAAGTAAGTAACGCTCGAAGATCTAATTTCTAGACGGTAGTGGATTTTTATTATTGCGAAATTAGTTACAATTTAAAACAGGATAGACCAATCACTATTGTAATGTAATGATCCGTTAATAAAATTATTGAATAATAATTACTAACTGAATGTTCTACTCTCGTAAAACGCTTTCAATCAACTACATTATGGTATATCAGCTAACCCAACTAACCTTAATCTATTTAGCATTCCACAGGTAGCTGTCCTTTCCAATAGAGGTCGTTTATCATATTATGCTTCTTTGATTGAAATGGTCGTAAAATACTTGTTGTACTCTTTTAATCAAATATATATATTACATATATTGTGGTAAAGATACAAATTCGCTAATTAGTAAGAGGAAATTATTTTACTTTATGAAATTATTATTCAGTAATTAATTTTCAATGATAGATATTTATGATTTAAAAAAGAGTTAAAATATAACTATAATGTCATGAAAGCGTTTCTTTTACTGGTAAAATTATAAAATACAACGTAACCAGTTTTGATGAACATGTCATAGATTTCATACATTAAAATTCATGATGCTCACAATGAACAACAGCGTCAATGCTGGGCTCAATAACGATTGAAAATAGTTACAAAACAATAAGGAAAAAATTAGAGGAAGCTATTTTTAAACGGTGTCGTGAAATGAATTCTTATAATATCGAAATGTACCTTGGGTGAGAATTTGTATTCCAATGCTAACTGATGGTATATGACGTCACAGTGTCTTAATTATAAATTATGCTTGTTAAATATGACTTTCTGTTAAAGAGGCGTTAGATTTGTGAAAATGTTTAAGTATTGATGAATATCATATTAAGCATATAGGTTATTTAATTGCGGACACATAAGGAAAAATACATGTCATCTTAATTATTTTTAAAACGTAAAAGAATCTACAACTCGACAAATAAGTTTATATTATTGAATAATTAAAAAATGTTTTTTTATGAAATGTTGTTTGTTGAGACGCTCTAACACTATAGATGCGGATTTGGCATTTTAAAATACTTACAGAGAATAACACACATAACATAAGGTTTAACTAGTAGCATTTAAAAATAAGTCCTAGAAAACTGTCGAAACAATTGTTTTTTCCGTAAGTTCTTGGCAAGCGACTTTCTTTTCAAAGCGAGTGATGCTGCAAGAAACATTTTATAAGCTTTAAAAGAGAACTGGTTACTTTAGAAGTTTGTTATAGAGGGATACTATATATATTTTTGTCTTTATTTTTTATGAAAGTTGAGAGACATATTTGTTCGATCAATTCTAATATTGCTGAGGGCCTAGCTCAAAATTTTGATATAATTTCATAAAGCAAAAAGCAATTGGTCTGCTGTTTTAGGTACACATTAAGTTGTTCTAAGAACGGAGAAAATTAATTCGGTAAAGATATTCAATAGTTTTTTATAGTTTCATATCTTTACTTATCTAATAAATAGAAACATCAAAATTATAAACAAACATGTCGTTTATAGGACATAAGTATTATTTCACGTTTGCTGGATGATTAAATAGCCATACTTTTATGGTGGTCATAAACTTCCACGACCCTTAAGCTCTTGGTTTTAGTGCTTGGTTTGTGCAAGCGGAGTGCCTATGATGCATAATGGAATTGTCCTTGTGGGATTGAAATGATTTTTAAGTTTATATCATAACCGTTTCTATTAATTCTACCAACATTTACGATAAAAAATATAAAATAGATAGTTATGTGATAATCCAATTTAAGGAAAAGATAAAATAGATATCATGTGTAAGTAATAATCTCACCATTATTTACAACATTTTTATCAAGATCAATTTTATAAAAAGTTGTTTTGAATAAAAAGTACTAAAATTAAATTATCGGATAAAATATGAAATAGTAATAAATTTTATGACACTCAGATTCAATTGCAATTGCTAAGTAATTTTAAGTGTATCTTTGTTTATAAATATATATTATAATGATATATTTAAGGTCAGTGAATAAAATTTTAGTTTGTATTTTCAAAGGATACTTTTACGGTTATATTATTAATTACAATAGGTTTTATAAATATAGACATTCTTTTATATATAAGTACAACTTATCGAGAGGCTGTTAAAATGTTGACTTATAAATATTAGTTTTATAACTGTAATTTCAAGTTTTTCATAAATTTGAGTTTATTTAACTGTAACCTTTACAAATAATTTTCACAGCACAAAGGAAGCCTAAATCATATAATTAGTCACACCTCAATCGTAGAATCTGAATAACATAGAAGAAAATAAAAAAAATACCACAAAAATCGCCTCAATTTTGAATCATTTATAAAAAAATATTTTAAAACGGAAACATAAAGTCTACCTGAAAGCGACATGTTTTCCTAGCCGACATAGTTGACATACTCGACATAATCAACATATATTGATAAACCTGTTTTAAATAGACCTTTATTAATATAATCAGGGACTAGTAACATTTTAGTACATAATAATGAAAAGCTAATTTTCTTTTCAATAATCGTCCTTAAATATGTTGGGTGGAGAAATAATGGAAGGAATAAATATTAATAATGAGAAAGTGAAATGGCACAAATTTATAATGTTTCATTATCACGTTTAGTAATTATAATGATACATGAAATATTTTGAATACATTCAAGTTTTCTTTTTTTACGAACAGCAATCTGTTGAAGAGGGCGGCAAAAATTGGGTACAGCGCCAAATGTCACGGGTGACACGGAACCTTCGCTGTCGTATAAGTGGTGAAGGTCGTGAGAAGCCTTCAGATTGGTTTCTGGACAAGTTTGCAGCTCAGACCTTTACAGACCCTGAAGAGCCAATCTACCAAGCCAAGGGATCTAAACTTCTGTGTGGTTTGAAGCTCGCTTTTGATCCGACGTTACCAACTCATTATCATGTACGTATAACGAAGAGGTTGAACTTATCATATTTTTTTGTTATCGGTAGGAATTGTCTAGCATTATTTTCTATTCGGATGCAACAACTTTATGTAAATTCAGAATGATTTTCACCTGTCGGTTCAAAATGAATTTTTTATCAAGTTGATAGAGTGGAATTGTACTTAATACATATTATTAGAAGTTAAAATAAATACACATAATAATTATTATTATTGTACTTCATATTAAAAACAGGAAACAGATAAACATTTAAGTAACGTACAATAATTATTTGAAATAATGTTTATTTTAGTATTTAATATAACAATCAAAAAAATTCGATCTTGAAAGAAGGAGTTCAGAAAATAGTGTTGTGTCAACTCCTAGACTTCTAGTCTGAAGTCTGAAGTTTTTTTCTTATGGGTTGCCAACTTCAGACTCGTCAGTAAATAGATACAGCTAAAATTTAAGGGTGCCGGATACGCAAATCAGACTTTTTAATTGCAATTCCTAATTCTGGATTGACTGTGGTCAATAATTGTTCATAGTTTTGATAGGGTTCATAGCTTCAACACTTAAAAATACTGTCTCGCCTTTTTTGCTACCTTCGGAAGTTTGTAATTTATATATATATTTTAAATTAAATGTTATATGCATGTAATAAAAAATGTGTTCAATCCACACATTGACAATAATATAGAGAAATTAAAAAGTAAAAACAAGTAATTTTATCCCAAAATAATGAATTAAAGTATTATTAAATTACGATATGCTTATTAGTGGCTGGCGGTGGTGTCTCTAGCGATTCTTTACAACGTGGTACTTGTTATCGGCCGCGCAGTCTTCTGGGAACTCGATAAAATGACAATGATATGGTTCGTGTTGGACTACCTCTGCGACGCTATATACGTGGTGGATACCATAGTGCACATCCATGAAGGTATTTATTGCTATCTTGAATTTTATTATTTACATAATCACGATTACAATTTAAGTTGGTTTCTTAACTATTTTGAACTTTTATATACATATAAAACTATATGCAAGAGTATTAGGCATCTAAATTAATTATATTTTTTTATGTCCCACAACTTAATTTGTGTCAGAGAAATTCGCTTACCGTTCAAGAGATCAACTTTTTAAAAAAAAATCATGATATGTTGTCCTGTTTAAATTTTGTAGTGTCAATGTTTGTAACACCAAACATTTTTTTATTGACGTCACTTAAACTGTAACAACCTCGGATTTTAATTTGCCCTTCACTAAATAGAGTTTTATCTCCACAACTGGCAGCTCCATATCCTTATGATATCTCCACCTCGTTTCATGGTTTACCATTTATGGTTTATCGTTATCGTTCCATGGTTTTTAAACCACGCAAACTGGATTGTATGCTTAATCCTCTTACTTCTCGTATCTTCTCCTTCTTCTCCATCTATCTTACTCTCCGTTTAACATAAATAACACAGGGTGCTCTAAGTATTGAAATGTAATATTTCGTTGTTATTAACGACAACTTTCTTTTTAGAACGTAATTTTAAAGTAAACGCACACACGTCATTCAAATAAAACAAAAAAAATACAATAAAGATCGTTGCTAATTTTACCAGTCATAAATTATTTTTATGCTTGAACAAAAATTAATTTTAATGTTCCTTACAATCCTTGTACCTAGCTTGAAGATTTTTTTTCTTAACAAATACATCTTTCTTCTTTTTTTTAGCTGAAGCAGAAGCGAGTTCTTCAAATGATATTTTGCGCTGACTAAGACATGCTTAATACACAATTGTTTAGTTTTTCTTCTTAAGTTACACCTGTTTATCAATTCCTCTGCCTAATACTTTTGCACGGAAACAAGTTTTTTTTTACAATTATATTACGAAAAAAGGATGAATTGATGCAGGATGTTAAATTATTTTTTAATTTGTAAATTTTCTCATTTAAACAAGTTAAATTTAATAAATAAGAAACTAACTTTAAATTGCTATTCTCTTTGAACAAAAAACAAGCCGTTAGCGTCAAATCTTATTTCTATGAATAGTTTTTCGTTACTTTATAAGTTACTTCAATAACTAATTTGTAATATAGTATATTTATATACTCTTTAATTTTTAATTATTTTTTTAAGCGAAGCGATTTCAATTTTATAGCAAGCGATGATTATTCTCTGACTTGTGGGGAAATGTAATTAATGTGTATTTTATGTGACTATCATACTAAACTAAATCTGTAAGGTGATGAAATCTGTGGTCACTAAACAAAACTGACTGTTTATTATGCTGACCAGACAAAAAAAGCGTTAATTTTTTGAATACATAAGTATTTGAAGATAAAATGATATTTCATGATAAAATAAAATAAACAGCATCACTTGATCTAACTAAAAAAAAGATAGACACATAATTTGTACAGAAGTTACTGACAAAAAATGAAAATTCATAAAACTTATCCGCACTAAGATATGATCCAAATTTCCACGCCGCCAATCAACATTTCGCCGCCCACGTCGCCGCGCCTTGCGTCATCAAATTTTGCTAACATGTGTACACACCGTGCCTGGCCCTTACAAATATTGCATTTAAACTCGACTGCGCTTATCGAATATATTAGATTTAAGTTTATATTATAAATACATAGAAGTTATGAGTTTTTTTTAAGGAATGGTTTTGTCATTTAAAAGTAATTGACCAAATTTTATAAATGTTTTCATTTCTACCACTTGGTAAACATAAATCCTTCACAAGAAAATTAGTTATAAATTAACAGCAGAAAAATATTTGGTTTTGATCCTTATATAATTTATAAAAGCTATCTTGGAAAATAACTGTTTATTTTTAATAAGAAACTATACAAAATTTTGTGAATGTATATATTTAAAGATATGTAATTTTCTTGAAGAACTCTTAATAATGTGTAAGACTCTTACATTTTCAGGCTACTTGGAGCAGGGCTTAATGGTAAAGGACTCGACAATGCTGAGGAGGCATTATTTGACCTCCGAAGCATGGAGGTATGATGTAATATCGCTTCTTCCTACTGACATGGCCTACTATTGGTGGACTCCCGGCACTTGCAGTTATGTTAGTATCATACTTTTCAAATTTACAAATAAAGAATAGACATCCATTTCTATAATATCATCGTTGTGACCTGATTTACAGCTCTCATGAAATAAAACCGAAACAAATAGCGTTTTTTTAGAATTCGATTTTAAATCAGTTCTCAGTTATAATTGAATATTAATATGTCTAGCAGACAACCTTTTTTGTTTAAGTCTTAAGGTTTAAAACGATATAAGAGAAAAATTATACTCAAAAATTTCTATATACAAAAATTTCTTAATAGAAGATCGATTCAAATATGTTTGCATTGTGGAGTAATATTTAAAGCCTTTAAAAAAGAAAAGAAATAAAATGTTTCGGGCTATAGAATCATAAATAGTCAATACAATTCTTTCAAACCTAAGTTTTAGAGCCCAGACCCATAAGTTCATAAAGTTCATAAGTTCATAAAGATCTAGATTAATAAAAAAAAATATTTCAATAAAATATTAATCGTATCTGTACCAAGATAAAGAGACGAGATACGAGACTTTCTGAATAACATATCATAAATAGAAAAGAAATGGTAATTAGCTTTATATGATGTAATTGTAACCCACGCTGTATAGGACCAGTACAAATAAAAGGTTTTCATTTTCACGATACCGATTATTTATTTAATGACGATTTTATTATATTTTTTGTATTATTTTATCATATTTGCAAAAAGTAAAAGGAGCCACATGCGTCAGTAAGTAATATGCAAAGTGTAACATGACTATAAAAAAGATGAATGGTCACAATAAACATGCTAAGCAAACACATTCTTTAACTTTGTTATTACCGAAAGTGTCAATATTGGTTGTGTTCCAGCAACGTTTGCCGTGCCCTGTTATTGTACGACTCAATCGACTATTTCGCCTGCCTCGTATGTGGGAGTGGTTCGACCGTACTGAGACCGCCACTAGTTATCCGAATGTTTTCAGGATTTGTAAGGTAAGCTATTGACTTTATGACTAATTTAATACTTAAAGTATTAAAAATTTAAATGTATGAAATTTCAGGTAGTTTTAGCTATACTAGTGCTTATTCATTGGAATGCTTGCCTCTATTTCGCCATCAGCTATGCTATAGGATTTGGAAGCGACAACTGGGTTTACAATATTACAGGAGCTCGCAATGAAACTTTGGCTCATCAATACATATACAGTTTTTATTGGTCAACATTGACTCTTACAACAATTGGGGAAACGCCGCAACCAGAAATTGATGTTGAATATTTATTTGTGGTTGCTGACTTCTTAGCTGGAGTATTGATATTTGCAACAATTGTGGGTAACATTGGGTCAATGATTTCTAATATGAATGTTGCGAGAGTTGAATTTCAAAATAAAATGGATGGTGTCAAACAATACATGGCGTTTCGAAAAGTGAGCGGAGAATTGGAAGCCAGAGTAATTCGCTGGTTTGCTTACACCTGGGCAGAAAGTGGTGCTTTGGATGAGGAAAACGTCTTATCTTCTCTTCCGGATAAATTAAAAGCCGAAATTGCCATTCGAGTTCATCTTGACACATTACGCAAAGTAAGGATTTTCCAAGATTGTGAACCTGGACTACTAGAGGCTCTGGTATTAAAACTTAGACTTCAAGTTTTTAGTCCCGGTGATTATATTTGCCGCAAAGGGGACGTAGGCAAAGAAATGTACATTGTGAAACGCGGAAGATTACAAGTCGTGGCTGATGATGGAAAAACCGTTTTAGCGACACTTAGTGCAGGTTCTGTTTTTGGGGAAGTCAGCGTTCTAGAAATTGCTGGTAATCGCACAGGAAATCGACGCACAGCCAATGTACGTGCTTTAGGATACTCCGATCTATTTTGTTTGGCTAAAAGAGATTTATGGGAAGCTCTCGCAGATTATCCTGATGCCAGAGCTACTTTAACTGAACGTGGATGCCAGTTGTTGCGAAAGGTTTGTACAAATATAAATTATATCTCTCACAGCACTCTGCCCTTATCTTGTATAACTTCAAATAACTTAAGTGTGCAACTTTCAGAAATCACATTTTTTTAATTTTCATGGTATACATTGAAAACTGTAAACCTTTATAATATTTGTCAATCTATGTTAAAAATAATCAAATTGGAAACAAGATTGACGACTTCTTTGTGATGAAGCTGATTCGTTTAACAGTATTATATGTATATACGCACAATATATTTTCTGCACCAATAAATATTTAGCTCACATATATATGTATAAAGAAATGTGTGGCCATTAATCCACAATAACCACTCGAAGTTTGAAGAAAAATTATTTGAGAAATTGATATCGTAGGATGGCTTACTCGATGAAACTGTGTTTCAAAATGCTCAAACAACTCAACAAAGCCTAGAAGAGACTGTCCATCAATTGGAAACAACTGTAGAAATGTTACATAATCGTTTACAAGGATTGCTGTCTGATTTCGGAGAACAACAAGCCAAATTAAAACAAAGACTTAACAAGCTCGAATTAAGGTGAGCTTGCAAATTCTGGTTTATATTCCTTTTACTGCATTCTGCGAATGTTTAAATGACATAATATATTTTGCAGCAAAGCGACTTTCTCATTTAAAATGATTATATAGTAGAACCTTTACAATGCCTTACTTTTCAGATTAATAGAATCAGATGAGGACACTGATGTTGAAGAAGATACAACATCACAAGATGAATCAGAATTACGAAGCGACATTATTCGTTCATGTGATGGTGCCAGCTATAGTGCAATGCCAAGTCCCATACAAAGTCCCTTATGCTATGCTCCAAGCTATCCTATTCGCGAACGAGGCCATTCCTTAACCGTGGAAAGCACCCCAGGCTTATTACCCATTACAAAAGAACCGAGAAGCAAATCACTAAGATTAAAAAGATTCCAGCAACAGCAAGAAGCTTTCAAATGGAGTGCTAATCAAAATAAATAAAGTAGCAGAATAATATTTCTGTTTTAATTGTCAGTTAAAATGTATATATAAAGACGAGCTAAAAAAATTTTTGACAGATTTAACATAATATGGTTAAGAAAAATATTGAAACTGTTTTTTATAAATAAATAAAAAAAAACGTAGTTTGACTTAGAGTTTAGAAATCTTAGAAATAAGGAAAATTTTAGAAATAAGGACAGGCTTGGTAAAAGGCTTTAAAAACATTTTGTATAAATATTCCATAATGAAAGTGTCATATTATGTGTAATACTCAGTAGAAGTTAATGTCCAAAGTAGAATACTAAATGTTATTCCATTAAATATTTGATGTTTGTTCTCGATAGTAGTTTGTAGATATATACATTTTGGTTCTCAGGTAAAACAAGAATATCTTAGAATAGAACATATTTTAAATCAGATTTTTTAACTATACATTTTTCTGTAACATAAATTGATGTACATAAGTGACCCCAAATGTATTATCATTTATATACACAAAAACTAATGTAAATTTACAATAATGTTTTTAAAATAATTATGTATAAAACCTCTTTTACGGATAATAGAATCTCTCGTGGTTCAATGTTATCATAAGTTATGGATTAATTGCGTGTTAGTATCTAAAACCATCAATGTGCTCTTAGCAATTGTCGTAAAAATACCAAACATAGTTTTTACAGTTCACATTTTTTCTTACGTACCTATTTTACTGATAAGGTTAAAATTATGGAATATTTAGCGCATTTTGCTGAGTAAAACAGACAAACTTAGATATGTAATAATTTACTTAATGGTCCTTACACTATTTTTGACATTAATTGTTAAATTTTTGCTCCGAATAACGGATTAGGATCAGCAGTAAGGTATAATATTAAATAAATGTTTCCATAAGAAATACACTATTGTCGATCTTCATCGTTAAAAATATTTCTGACTTTACGTATACACGTAAAAAATTATGTAATTTTTATCAGTATTGAATTAAATAAATATTTAATTAGTAAGAATCAGATAAATCAGTATCGAAATATTTAGAAAAAAAAATATTTTCTATAATAATATTGATGTTAAATGTTAGTAAATTTAGGCTAAACATATCTAATAGTCTGAATTACAATAAATATATAATATATATCTATTATACAATATACACACTGTTCTAAGCAGTCTAGATATAAGTAATTCTTTATATAAACTGTTTTTAACGATATACTAGTCATTGTAAACATAAAAAATAATCTATTTAAAAGGTAACGTAACAAACTTAATGAGATCAATTTAATATACCTGTATATGTATGTCCCTCTGTTTAGTACAGTAGTACAACTCAATAAAAATGGCCCGTGTTAAAATAGTCTAATTATTAAATATAGATACAGGATAAGGGATTTAATTTTAAGGGAAGAAGCCGGATGGCTGATACATTATATGTATCTGTACTCAAAGTTCTATGTATTACTATGGTTCAGTACTTTTCGTCAGGCGACTTCTTTGACAATTCCATGTTTACATAAAATGTAACTATTAAACTATAGATAATCAGAAGGTGTTATACCCATTTCATGTTTGTATAATTATTGGTGTCAAAATATAATTATGAATGTTATAAAATTATTTTTTAATAATTTGGTCGTATTATTGTTGATTAGTTAATTATTATATGAAGAATAAGAATCAGTGTAAACTTATTAAGATCTTTATTTACGCTCAATAATATTTCAACTAAGCAGATTAACAGACTTACAATTAAAAAAAATATTGACAGAGCAACAAAATCACATTTCAAAATCAGAAGTTTATATAACTAGGCCTTATAACCTATAACACCGAAGACACCACCAATTCATGCAAATTTTATTGTCAACACATTAATGACCCCTCAAAACCAGCTACTGATAGTATTCTTACATACAGCTAGCTTTGAAGGTGCATTAAGAATCCAAACTTTTACATCAACCACTTAATTAGATACATTGATAAGTGAAAACATGAAACAACAGCGATATTAGTTTTCGTAATACATATATTTTAAAGTTTACTACATCGAAAAGTAATAAAACAGCCATCGATAGGTATACTAGTAAAGAAGAAAAATCGTAAACATATATATAAGATACTATTTTATATTTAAATAACAAATATAATAATTTATGAAATTTTTAACTTATAGTAGTTTACAACTTATCATTAATTACGGGTTTACTACTTTGGGATACCTAGGTATTGACACAACGTAAACAGCCCTTACAAGTTTTAGAACCGTTACAACTTACACAAACGTTTGAAAATAATAAGGAATGCTTTATATTGTAAGAGATCCTCAGGATTATAGCTGAATTGTAGATAAAAAAGAGTATAACAAAATAGTTTACTTCAAATAAATATCAGTTTTGAAAGCTCAGTTTAACATTTTAAACATCAAGTTCTATATAGACATTTATTTGACATTCAGAATTGTAAATTGTTTATACTAGTTTCCACGAGGAGTTACAAGAAAGCTTTTCAAAAACTTCAATTAAGATAATACGACCTGTAACTCCACGTTCTTACACTAAATTTCGAAAAACTTCCCAAAAATACTAGTAAAAGTTACTATCGTAAAGAGTGACCCTGTTTTCTTTGGTATATCAACACATTCGTGATAAAGATCATTAACTTTTAGGAAGATTAATTAATCCCTCGATATATAATCGGTGGAATGTTAGAAAACATTAAATAACAGCTTAACAATTTTACCGGTATTGTCACATCCCGGATTCTTTCTGGAAAAGTATCTAAAAAAAAATATTCCAATCTCGAAGGAAAGCATTATATGTTAATACAGAAAAAATGAATAAAATTTATGTATTAAAGTATTTTTGTTTGAGTAATCTTATCCGCTTAATTTTATTTAAATTCATATAGCTTTCCCTTATATTTTATAAAATATGTTTTTTTTTATTTAAAATACGCCTTAAACATGGGTCACTTCTAAATATACTAACAGTCATAAACATTAATCACCACGTAGACAGCATTAATAAATGACACATATAGAGAGCCTTGGAAGAATAAATTACATGAAATACTTAGTATAACCTCCATTCGCCACAAGGCTTGATGACGATTCTTCTTTAACACCAACTAAAAAGATTAACGTTTTTATTAATGACCGATTTCTATAAGCACTTCCTAAAAGAACAGTCAAATGGTTGCCTTAAGTTCTCTCCTCCTTCTCAATTTCAATTAAAAAGTACCGTCAGGCCAGAAAGAGTAGCGACCAGCAGCATCGGAGGAGGAGACAGCATCATGTCTGCGAGGGGAGAAGTTAGTTGGAACATATCCAGAGTTGGGACTCGACGATCCACCTGAAATATAAATTAGCAAAATTAAAGACTTACATCCTTCCCTCCCTTGAGGATTTCAATCTTTACATTTTATATGCGATATCAATAAAAATATATTACAAAACTTTATTGTAAGTTAAAACTGCCAATGGAATTTTTATAAACGCCACCCATCGGATTTGTCTGAAACTGTGAGGGGAATATTTCACTACGTCCCAATAATATATTTCCTATTCTAAATGGTTACTAAGAAAAGCCTAGAATGTTCAACAGATGGCAGATGTCATGATTGATGAAAATTTGTATGATTTAATATATATTATTTTGGACTTACGTTTAAAATATGAGTAGATATTTAAAAGGCTAAGAAAAAAGACAGAGATTGAGTTTCTTATTAGGACATTTATCTTCGTATCTAGCTTAGCTACGATTAAAACATCTTAATTGCCAAAACAGCAATTTTTAAAAAAAATATATGTTAACCTTTAGTGGTGAAATAAAAAGTCTAAATTAAACCAAAATCTAGAGCTGGTTCTACGTTGATTAAAGTAACGTAATCAAATAAACATTTATTACCTTCGGGCCAAAACGAAAAACGAGAAACAGCATCAGATGAAGTGACAATATCGTGATGACGATTTGGAGAAAAGCTACCAGCGGCGTAACCAGAACCAGGACTAGAAGAGCCATCTGTAACAAAACAGTAATAAAGATATATATTTTATTAAGTAATTATTAAATTAATCTCTTATAAGAATGTAAACATTGAATGCTTGAAATGCGTTTTCAAATCATATCATGTCAAGTAATTTTTTTCATCACTTTCTTTAATAAAAAACAATCTGTAGAGGATACCAATGCTTGAGTTTGCCTAACTTTTCAATAGCTACTGATATATTCTTAGACAACGACTTACAAAATTATATTTTTAGATTTAAATGAATAATAATGTTATCGAGATGAGAATGGGTGTAGCCCGTTAGACTTAAGCTGAGCTTTGCATTTGTGTGAGCGAAAGTAAAAGTAAGTTAGACGAAAAACTTTTGAATTAAATTTTATTATAATTTAAATAGATTCATCATATAAATGTTAGAGCTATTCTAGATTAAAAATAAAATAAGCAAAACTGGTAAAAGTCCAGATGAAAATAGTATGGGAAAAAATAATTAATAAAAAAATTAAGAACTATACAAATTCTTCTTCACTTGACATTGCGTTTTCAACATTTGACGCTGCTACCAAAAGGGTGAAGTGTGGAAAGTGCGAGGCGGAGTAAAAGCAGTATAAAACGGTTCAAACTCAAAAAATAACGTGGCATTCAAAAATTTTACATCACACCTACATTATCCGTGTGTACTCACACAAATGCAAAGCTCAGTTTAAATTAAACGCACTATAACAAACTTGCTTATACACATTTTTAAGTAAATTTAGTTTTACTAAATATATATTTATGTAAATTTGTATAACTAATACAAAATTTGGTTTTTCATTTACGTACCAAACTCATTGGGTACCGAAAATCACTTCAAGTACAATTACAATAAAATAATCTTTAACTACAAAAGTCAATGAGATGCACATAATGAGCTAATTTTTTTTATAATAATCCACAATTAATCTATAAGAACAAATTTTAAATAGCAACATGTTTATGAATTTAATGTTGGCGTCACTTCCATCATAAAATGACGCTTTAAATATAAGAAATACCATTTCAAGTCAGGCCCCATTATTTAATTATTAAACTACGGGGATTCTTGATAACATATGCATGTGTATGACCACGATTCAATTTGATTATTGCTCCTGGTCATGAAATTTTCATTCCACAATATTTATTTGAATAGCTTTGGATTTCGATTACTTTAAAAAGTATAATTAAAGGACTACAATTTTTAACTAGAATTTTGAAAAGTTTAATGACATCTTAATCAAGACTACCAGGAAAACTATGAATATTGAAATTTTATGCGTATAAATATTAAAAAGCCAATTAACATAACCAATTAGAAAGATCATTTAAAAATGATAAAAGGTCACTGAATGATAACAAAAATAATAGAAAATGAAACAGTTTAAACTTATGGTTAGCGGATTACTAACCAGCCTTGTAAATTATACATAATATTATGGTCCCTATTTAACAAAATAACAGGCTATTGAAAACTTTTCCCAAAATTTTCCATAAAATTACCGAAAACAACAATAAATTACTCTTAAAGACTGTGTCATCATTAAAAAATTAAGACACTAATGCATCGCTAATTCTTATACATTCCTTAAACATTTTTCAAAGTGATACGATGTCTATTAATAACGTATGTGATGATCACTTGTTTTTCTTTCTTTATAAATTAATAATTAAAAGTGGTAATGAACACCATACACAATGAGTAAATTAAAGAGATAAAGATAACATATAAACTACAAACATAAGATTTCTTTAAATACCGTCAACCTGATAAAATAGCATTAAAATTTTAAATCTTTTAACATATTGAATTCATTTCAATAATCAGATACTTACCAAACTCACCTATGGCGGCAACATTGAGCGTGTTGTAATTCATCGTCATCGGTTGCATGGATTGCAACGGGCTCTGTAACTGAAAACAATTGATTAATTAGTAATTTAAATTATTCATTAATTAAGGCTTGAATTAAATAAACAGATCAGGTTCTAAAAGTTGTTAAAATATGTTCTCTAAACTAAAACCAATCGACATTAAATTTAAAGTTATAATGACAAATTATTTTCTTATTTAAAACTTATAATGACAATTCCAGATTGTCCTTTCTCATATGTGTTGCTAATTGCTATCAAGTATAACGAATGTTTTACCGTCAATTATATTACAAGCACATAACGTAAAATAAAATAATATCATATGTTATAATTGTACATACCTAATTTTTAAAACGGAACCACATATTGTGTGTTGACAAATCCTTTCGATATAATATTAAATCCTTTCAAAAGGAAGCTATTTAGTCCATTTACAATATTAGTTAGAGTATGTTGCAAAACAAATCAATTTGATATATTTTTTTAAGCGTTGATACTTTTATGTCATCGTGTAAAAACATATAAGAACTTTATTTGTATAGTGTTAAGTTGGACGTCATTTAATAAAATGTAGGGACGTATTTGTAAACGGTATAAAATAACTGTAATAATTATAATAGGAAGAAACCTTAAGAATAATTCAAACTAAATATTAAAATGCATTTGACATTTACAAATAAAAAGTCGTAGACATTATTATTAAAGTTAATAATTCAGACATGACTGTGGACTGAGTTACGTACCACTGAGGCATGCCGTAAAGCATTAAGGAACAATACGGCATTAGTAACAGACACTTTCTGTGGAGATATTATTTATTTGTAATTATAATACATAATTCTAAGTATTAATGAATAGTTATATATTAAGAATTTACTGGATTATGGACTTTGGACGACACCAAAGAATCTTAAGAATTAGTTTTTTTTGCAATACCCGGAAATAATATTTAAATTAAGTTACTATTACTTAATTATTTCTTTTCGTGACTAGTACCAGAAAAATTCCCGACAAATCTTAAAGGCCCTGACGTTATAAGTTCTACTTTAATTGTGCTCCATAGCGGAGACAATCTTTTGACTTTCAATAGATAAAATAATGATAATATTGACGTCAATATATTGATAAGTATATTAAAAATATAAAACCTTCAAGTTATCTATCTTGTTCTTGTTCATACTTACATGAACAAATACTGTAAAAAAATACCCGAATTACATTCTTTACTTTTCCAAAATAAGGTAAGCAACAAAATAAAGGACTTTTGCTCGTAAGATGTAACGTAGGTAAAAGTTTACAAATATTGCTTTTTTAATGGTCACTTCCATATTAGTATTTATGATATTATAATGTTACCGTAATTAACAACTATTTATATAAACAAATTAATTAAATCAATAATGTTCTATAAATACTGGATATTTTAGTTAACTCAGAAATATCATGCCAAGTTTTGATTACTATTGAATGATATCTGAAAGTATCTTAAATCGACTAAATAGTAAATTTTAATACAACGATACATAACGATGTAGCGGTTTCGGTTTAATTTAGTATTTATATAACAATGTTTATTATGTACAAAACCTATGTTGCAAGTAACGTAGATTCCGTCACTGAATACTGGTAGACTATTTGTTATCTCCGTTTTAAAATAATTCTCACATCATTATGTTGACAAAAAATGTTATGGAATTTTACTTATATACTTTAATTTGAATCAAAAATAAAATTGTTATATGCCTTGTCAGCTTGCTTTAAAATCCAAACAACTTATCCTTCTAATCGTAATAAATTCTTAATTTATTTATTCAACACTAATTTTTGCCGACTTCGTCCGCGTTAGTTTGGTCAAGAGTAATATATGTAGGTATAGCTGACCAGGCAGTGGTGGCCTAGTGGTTAAAGGGCCCGCCTCTCGTTGCCGAGGGCGCGGGTTCGATCCTGGCCCTGGCAAGTACCAATGTGATTTTTCCGAGTCATATGTACTTTAAGAGTATTTAGACATCACTGATTAATGTTGATTCCCAAAGAGAGGGTTGATGTCAGGCAGGCGGCCAGTCGTAAAAACAAATAGCCAAAACTATTCACAAACATGTAAGGTAGACCCTGGCCATAGCTGGGAAATTGCCAGGTAGAAGAAGAAGCTGACCAGGCAAACTCTATACCGTCTTAGAGGCCATAAATAATCAGGTTTTTCCTGTTTCAATCAATAATGTCAAAAAAAACATTTGTATGGGAAATAGAAAAGGGCTGTTTCTAGGGTTTTCCCGGCAATTATTCCAATTTTTCTCACCTTTTAAACCTTTCCTGAACTTCCAGAAGTATTTCAAGACTAAAATTAGCCAAATCGGTTCAGCCATTCTCGAGTTTTAGCGAGACTAAAGAACAGCAATCCATTTTTATATATATAGAAGATTAACTCTTGAACATTTTTATCTTCAGATTAACTAAAGAATATGTTATAAGGAATTCGTTTAGAAATTATATTCACACCTATATCATAGACAGTCTATCTACCTATATTTTGTTAAACGTTCACCAAAAAATATTTGTTTTTAAAATTATATTTTCATTAAAAAAAATCTGAATATTGTTTTATAAACAAAAACTGAAAAAGCTGTGTATGTTTAGGGTCATTTCATGTTTATTTAATTAAAATCATTTTTAAATGTTTCCGGGAAATAGAGCAGAAAAAAAATTATTTTTTATTAGCTGTCAATACAGTATTATACTGATAAAAATTAGAATAAAAAAGAATATCATTTTAAACAAAATTCTTTATACCATTATATATTTCATAGTAGTCCTCAATAACTTATTCTTATTTAATATATCAAATTGGTTTTAGGGTTATCATAAGAGCTTGGATAATACCTCATATATTGGCATCAACGCGTATTATTAACAATACAATGGTGAAAAAACTTGTAAACATTAAGCTATCAAAGTTAAAGTTCTGAATATTGTAAATTGGATTGACCAAAATTTGTTTTTTTTTCGTGTAAAATATCAAAAGGCTGGTTTCAGTTAAAACAAATTACTAATCTCCCCTACCTATAAATTTTCCACTACAACCACTCAAAGCTTTCAAAGGTTGGAAAAACAAATATGGAGTGGATGTTGATATTTCATGTTACATGGCACACTGGTTTCAACACCTGTACGAAACCGTTTAATGATTCCTGTGGCTTTTGACACCGGATTCAATCAACAACAAAGACAAGTATATTAAAATGTATAAAAAAGTTTAAAAGGCTAGTCGGATTAAAACAGTTTTGAACCAATGTATTTGTTTTTTTAAACTCTTTTATTAACAAGTGTCAAACGTTTTTGTTTAGTAAGTTCGTATAATTTGGTACTTAATTAATATTGAACGAAATTTTTAGTATTTGTAATATTAAATATGTTTTATTAGGATCTATCTTAACCAGCAATTTATTCTTTTATGATTGAGCTAATACAATAAAAGTTTTCTACTTAACATTATTAAGACCATAATATAAAAAGAAATATATCAAGATAGCATTGTTTATCAAAACTATTCAAAGTAACTATCTTATTTTCTTTTGTTACTATGTACAGCGTGTAATTGGCATCACGGACTGCTGACTGAAGTCATCACAATTATTAGTTTGTTACTATATTTTTAGCAATAACCCGTGAAAACGAAGTACACTATTACATATTAGTAAATTTTAATCCCGATATATATAATATATCAAATCTATTGTTGTATTAAAATTATAACTGCACTCTATAATACTCTATTATTTCATATTTATAAAAATATTTTAGAATTGTAATTTCACCAAATTAGATTCATAACTTATGAAAGTATAGCTATGTACATTCTATTTATCTTTACAGGTGGTTTATAGAATTATTTTACCATAAGTGACTTAACTTGCTCATTATGTGAAAATAAAAATCTCCTTTTCATTGTGTGACAAATTAAACACCAATGAACTCAATGACAACCAACAAAACGTACCTATACAGAGCGTATTAATTAATTTGTAATTGTGGCTACCAAAGACTGTTATCGAGATTTCAGATTCAATGCTAAATGTAAGTTTAGTGAGGAAATATATAAACGAATACTTTTAACTTTAATTTTGAAATATAACAACAACCATATAAATAATAATTTAAGTTTTATACATGACATCTTATTAAATATTTATCTTTACACTACTTTCAACAACTATTACGTCGAGTTTGGTATACATCTCATCAAATGGAGTAACTATTAATAAGTATTAATATTTTGGAAAGGGTGTTTTACAAGACACTTAATTACTTTATAGAAAAGTGTAATCATTATGAAATAAAAATTATAACTATTTATAAAATTAGGTATAAGAAATAGGTCTTTGTGAATATTACGAACATAAGTGAGTTAACATGTTACCGTAACTGTAACACTATTTCGCAGTTCTGCAGTTTTATTGCCTGTTGATACGCTACTAACATTTTAATCTCATTTTCATTACGACTATGAATATGATATGCTCTGAAATTGATATCGCTAAACATTTTTAGAGAGTTCAGATTATGTTTTAGGCAACTTTTAGTTTATTTTTTGTATAACCTTCGCCTCCTTCATATCAAAGGGGATAAAGTAAATAGATTGACAATCGATACTGATAAAAAAAATTGAAAAATGAAATGATATTGTAAAAAAAATAATATTAAAAAAGTCTGAATCATCTATCATATTATATGTGTACATAAACTTTCTAAATTATGATTGTTTTCATATACCTATCGCTAAAATTAAAAGCAAAACTAAAAACATTTTAGTAAAATTATATTAGGTACTGTTAATTAAAAAATGTTATGCATTTCTCTATCGTCTATTAAGTTAAGCGGGATTTTCAATATATGGTGAACATGTCAAAGGGTCTTTGATTGAATCTGTTGTTGATATACACTGTATTTGTGATTGTTGACAGGTCAAATATCACATACATATAAGCAAACAGGTAACACTATCACACTATTAAAACGATACATTTTTAGATGAAAAACAAAACACAAAGAGCTACGTAGCATTATTGACAACAAAAAGTAATAACAGAAAACGTGATGTAAAGTAATGAAAAATAGTACATACTGAAAAAGATTTATATTAACCGAGGGATGACATAATATATATATATATATATATAGTACATACGAAATATCAGACCTTTTCTTAAAGACCATATACCTTAACATGATAGATATAATATTATATATTATGATCGACTATAGTGATTTTGTGCAAATTTGTTTTCTTTGTTCTTTGAATCATCGTGAAAAACATTAATTATGCAAATATAGAAGTCTAAGGCTGAGACAAAAAATTAAACTAGATCACAATATTAGCTGAAAAGTAACGTTGTCTTGTATTTTTATAATTTAATAATTGATTAGTAACAAAATATATGAAATTTTAAATCTTCTATGTTCCTCTATTCTATGATTAAAATATTTGATACAATCCATAGAATCTACTGCCTAATGACCTTTTACAAATATATCCAGTAAACAAAACCGATGTCTTATGAATGTTATATGTATTATAATTAAATCAAGTAATTTATTTCTAAAAATACTTGTTATCTTAAGTGATGTAATAAGGTTTGATTGAATATGATTGAGATGACATTTATCTATTTTTGAATATCTGGGATTCGTAATTAAATTACCTGTCCTTGGATTTGGTGGGAGGAAAAGGGGTTCACGTTAGATGCCTGGGGGGAGCAACCAGGGGGACTGCGAGCTATCGGAGCAGGGTAACCCAATCCGCCTGTCGGCTGACTCAGCCATCTGTAATGAATATAATCTTATAGCATTACATTGAAGCAGTTTTAAACTAGATAGGTCTGTTTAAAAAGTATTCTTGATAATACTGCAGATAAGTATTTATGTTTTTGTAATATGATGAACCATATGTAACAGAAATAATTTATGGAAACATAAAATGTTTAGATAAAATCAGGTAAAAGAATGTACCTATGTTAAAATTCGTCATATATTATAATAAAAAAAAATATTGTGTTAGCAAATTATTTAAAGTGTATACTAAGTAATATAAGTTAGTACTACTTATATATAGGTACACTGCTACAATGAGTTTATTAATTGAAAAATAGTTAAAAGCCAATTTATATTTGGTCAATCGAAATAAGTGTAATGAAAACGATTGCTAGATCTCTCGATATGGATTCAACAAATGAATGAATAATTTCATCACTAATGCATTTTAAAAGTTCATTACAATAGAAACATCGCATCGGTCTGTTTGAGGTTGACGCGGTCATGCCTTTGAATGATTTATTTTAACCGAAACTTTTGTTGTTTCAATAAAATTCAGACAGTTATTATTATTTGTAAATAAACATATCTACATATGTATTTTTCACGTGGAAAGAACTCGATAACAAAATGTATTGATTTCCTATGACTTTAGACTACTTAGAGGAGATCGCTAGTTATGTATTTGTTACAATGAGGCTGAGTCAAGAAATACTTTAAGGATGAAAATCATTAAGCAAGTTGAAGAGTGACTTCTGAGTTCTGAGACCACGCCTATCGGTTTGTTACGGCCAATAACAAAACCGCAAACTCGACCCAATCCAGTCTTAAGATTAGATATTAGGGGGATCAGAAATCAAATAATGAGTTGATTCAATAATTGTACAGGTAAAATATCAATCAACGCAATAATAAAAATTAACTAACAATCAATCAATCAATCAACGCAATAATAAAAATTAACTTAAGTTTATTAATTTAAGCCGCACACTAGCAGTAATTTATATACTTCACTATGCAAGTGCACTGATTCTAGTAATCTATAACATTGCCCTACTTTCTATTTTTCTACCTTCACAAAGCTCTTTAATTGGACCTTTTCGCAGAAACACGGCCTACGCGCTTGAAGTGGCATAAATATTACGGGTTAAATTTGAAAGCTCTTCGTTATATAGCGATATCTTCATCATTGAAGACCGAGTGTTTAATGAAGCAACAAATACATGTTTTTATGGAAAATGTAAATAATAATATATAATATATTACTATAAACTGTTTCATTACCTATCATCGAATGACTTTATAATTATCTGACTTAGGCATATAAAAAGATCTTTCTGTAATACTTATATAGCTACATGTCTGAAACGAATATGTATATCGTTTCAGAAATAGACTCAGGTTTCCAGCATTAGCGAAAAAGCTTAAATTTAACACCTAAATAATCTGTTTTGAAATGGTCATTGAAGATCAAGATCAAAATCTCGAAGACTTCATTACTTTGTAACTTTTATAATCGGTAGCGAAAGATACAAACCAAAAATAAAGTACGTAACATTTTTCACATTTAAATTTATATATTTTCTAAAAACTATTTTTATCATGTCAAAAGTTTTACACTAAATTTTGTGTAGTTTTGGACAAAAGGGAGTTTTTAACTAATCAGCTTACACCTAAATACGAATGGAAACTGTTGCGAGTGTAATCAGCTTACCACAGGACAATTGTCATATCAACTACTTATGACGTTTACAAACTTTATTTACAAAACAGTAAGGACACAGAAATTTGTTGTATATTAAGCTTATTTAATAATTTTAATGCATATATGTAATGAAGTAAATAAAGTTTAATAAAGTTTAATAAAGTAATGACGAGAAACACTGTATTAACATCTATACATGTACTATAACTAGGTATATAGATACATACAAATGATACAATAATGTATAAACAGACTGATACGTAACAGCATTAATCATATGGAAACCAGCTTTTAACATTGAACAATCGCGGTTAATGACGCAATGTTATGTGAATTAAGAATTGTATAGTTCATGAAGCTATAGATAATAATAATTAATGTTGTACACACCGCACGAACTGACTTATATTTATTCCGTATTATTTGATACATTTACTTGAGAAATTAACATTTTAAGAATCTTTTTATGCTTTGATTTTTTATTTGTCTGATATGTAAGATGGCGGTATACTGGGCACTTATTATATAATTAAAGCGATCGACGACACATAATGGAATTTAACTGAGATAAAATCTTGACGATTTGACCGCACCATATCTCAGCAGTGTCGTAATCTGTTGCTAAGTGCTCGGGACGACCTTTTGTGAAAAATAAGGTTAAAATATGCATAAACAAAGGAACTTAAATTGAATATTTCATAAGAATACCGAAACGGGAAACTATTACAAATGACCAAGTAAGATTGTTTTATAAACATGTTAATTATGAACGTAAATATTTTTGTAATTTATTAGTTGAGTGAATATCGTAACCACAATAACGTGTAGATTGATATCATTAATATGCTATGACAACATTTATTTTAGCAAATTAGTATGGATTTTTATTTATATTTTGTTGTGATCGATTTTTTGTGTTGGATCAGTTCACAGTATTATCATTGGACAATTATATTGTTATCGACGTTCTTAAACTGGTTATAATATTATTATTTTTTCGGTGTATTATAAGTAACTTTCTGATTTACTTTTATTCTCTGTTTTTATTTCCCCATAAGAAAGCGTAATATACAATTTATGTTCCCTATTCACTTATGAATACACCTTTATTGAATTGTATAAAATATAATTATTAATCCTGCACTATAAAAATACTTAATACGTATATTTTATAAACTTTGGGATATTTTAAGTGAATAAGAATATATTTATCTATTTACTCACGCCATTCAAAGGTTATTGAAGTGCAAGGTTATCATATTACACATATTTGATTTCTTAGTTACGTAATAAGCATTTTTATTTTCGAGTCACTTGTTTATAGTAGGTATAAATTTTACAAGACATTGATGAAAAATCTTTATGTTTAAAAGAATAAAATAAAAGTAGTATAGTACTACTTTTATTTTAAAGTAGTACTATACTACTAATTAAGCTACTTAGAGTGACATCAAAATTGGTTCAGCCACTAAAACCTGGCTTCAAAATATTAGCCATAACAAACAGACAGATAGATGAAAAATTGTAAAGAGTGTTGTTTTGGTTTAATATGTAATATATGGAATATGCATCCATGTATGTTTAGTAAAAAGCCTTTATTTTAATACTACAAAAAGAAAACACTCTAAGTCTCTGTATTTTTTAACAAATAATTATACATTTTAATTTCATAAATCACTTACGCATCATATCTCGGGTAAGACGGAGGGTAAGGTGTACTAGAACCGAAGTAGTTCCTGTGCCCGAGCTGGATGGGCATGTGGGGGTGTTGACCGCCGTGGGCGACGTAGCCGTCGAACATTGTCTTATATGGAGCGGCCCTGAATGGTCTCTTCATGCGACGCCGCCGCCTGAAGTTGCCGTTCACGAACATGTCTCCGCATTGCGGATCTAAAACAATTCCAACCTCACCAAAAATATAAGTCTAAACGCAGCAAGCCCCTTCGCAACGCACACAATCGCACTAAAACTTATAATTAATATCTTTTGCTGAAATTGTTTTCTTTTACTTAATCTTACCAAGTGTCCAATAATTTCCCTTGCTTTCACTTCCGCCCTCTCTGCGTACTTTAATGAAGCATTCGTTCAGGCTCAGATTGTGTCTGATTGAATTTTGCCAGCCCTTTTTATTCTTCTCGAAGAATGGAAATTCTTTGGTAATGTAAGCGTATATTTCACTTAGGGTTGCGCGCTTATTCTGGCTATTGGTGATAGCCATGGCAATCAAAGCCACGTAAGAGTATGGCGGTTTTGTGAGTGCCTGTGAAGATGGTGTAGTAGACTGTGGGTTCATTTCAGGTGAACTGCCAGGACTAGCTGCCGGGGTAGGCTTTGGCTTGGGCTTATTCTCGCTGCTGCGAACAAGCAACGATGGTTTAGAAAGATGAATGTTAAACACTACATCCCCTACTTGAATTAAATCGCAAAAGCAAACATACCCACAATATTCCATAAAAATGAACAGTATGAAATTCGCACAAGCCTATTTTATTTAAAAATATTACATAAATTAATGTTCAATTATTGTAATGAATTGTAAATAACACCAACAGGGAATCTACTCCGTTATAAGTTCTAATGATGGATGATAAGAGACTTCGCAAGGCATAGAAATCGCTACTAAAATAAACCAACCTTGTAGGTGGGTTAGCAGAATCTTCTCTGGAAAGCGCAGAGAGGGTTAGGGTCTGATAGACCCGAGAAAAATCTTCAGCTTCCTTCATCTCTGGCTGATTGAAGGAGTCTGGAGTGTTTGACTCTTGGAGACACATGCGACTATCGTAGGACAGACCTGAGGACAAAAATTACAAATTTAAAAAAAACATAAAATTACCAACTATAGTTCAATATTTATAACACAACCAGTTCCTAAGAATAACTCAAGTTTCACTTAACGGGACTCAATGAAACGTATTCAGCAAAATGATGACGTAACACACACCTGTTGGGTTCAGATTAATAATTATATACCAACAGCAAAGAATTATTTTTACACGAGACATTTTTATGTTTAAGGTATAATATTAATATTCGTAACAAGCTGTTTAAACAGCTTAGCTACATGATTAATTGAATATATTTTGTATTTATTTTAATTATATAAATATGAAATTTTTTACATTCTTTTATTCTTAAATTTGCTCCAACTAAGTAGTGATCTCTACATAGTACAAATTTAATATTAGCACGATAATGTATTTGATATGATGTATTTGTATTTGAGTTAGCCCGAGATGTTTAGGTTAATGCATACGCCAAGCGACTAATTCCAAGAATCCCGTATTTGGAGGCACGTACGAGAGAGATTGGCTAAATCTAAAATGTAAAATGTATACAATAATTCCAGTAACGCTAGATCCCTTTAAAAGTAAAGTAACAAAATAAAATCTCTATAAATCCAATTAATAAAACGAACATAAATACTTTGATTATTATATATACCTAAAATCTTTTTTTTTATGCCAACAATATAATTCCTTGGGTAACAAAAAATTCATATATTTTTAGAGTATATACTGTAAATGAAGCAGATACCGTAATTAGATATCCATGCCTCGGGGTTGGAAGTCAACGGCATCATTAACGGCGTAAGCGATATTGTTAATTAAAAATAGGATTAGGTAATGTAGAAATCTTTTTGGGGGTATCTATTTAATTCCAAAAAATCTTGTATAAACAACATCTAATCGTAATCATTATAATTACAAAGCAATGAATATCAACAAAATACATTTAGATGTAACATTATAATAATTGAATCATGAACTTAATTATTAAATCATCCAACTGTTAACTTCATAAGTAATTATAGAACATAATTGTATTACATAAAACAGGTGGAACAGTAATAACGAAACGTGCAAAGAATGCATCAGATCGTCGAAGTCCACGTACCGCCGGCATTGTCGCTTATAGAACAATGCGTATTTATAAAACATTAAACCCGGCGTATCGTTCATGAAATTAATAACAAATAACAATTGTGAAACATTAGTTCGGGAGCCGTGAATTGGCCGCGCTCTTGGGTGAATTTCTTAGGCGTGTTGTTACCACGGCATTTGTGCTGGCTGGGTAACTTTGGTTTATATTCGGCTTTAAAAATATAATAAGCGTTTTGAAATTAGCGTATAAATTAAATTATATCGATATCCTTGGATTCTTTTCTTTTCACCTATAAGTTATCTTTGATTTGAATAATCTAGACATATAAATATATTTCATAATATTAAATTTATTTAATAAAAAAATTAGTAAGGTTAGAATGATAATAAATATAATTCTTTTAAAATAAAAGTTCAAAAATATTTACGTAGGTAGATAGTATAATCGATGAAAAATGACATGTAACATTAATTACTTTTCCTCTATCTTTCGTTTTTAACTTGTTAATTCAAAGAAAGTAATGAGAGACTGATTCTATACGCTGGTTAAATATTTATAAGTAATTGTCTCTGGCTGTAGATATAATAATTTATTTCATGTTATACTCAATTTTGAGATAAACTACAAAGAAACAGTGGGAGATATAATTTATAGGAGTGTTCATCTTTATGTATTCATCCATATTATATCTTTAAAATTCCATGAATTAGTATAGTAAGTAAAGTAATCTTGGTAAGATTCCTCCAATAGTTTTTGATAACGTTAATACTGCAATATTCTTGGGTATCATGGTGTGTTTTTTATTCTTTCGTTACTTTGTATTCATTCGTTTTGTACATTTTTCGTGGAAGATAATAAATTTATAACCTTATTTTTTACTATGTAACATAGCAATACATATACATATATATATGTACGCTATCTACGCTCAATTTCTTAAGTTTCTTTCGTCTTGTTTATCCCGTGACAAATATCATAAATATTATATTAGTTTTATTTGTTCTGAATATTTATTAATAAGTAGTACAAGTTATATTACGTATGTTTATGTAATATAACTTGTAGTATTCACTTGTATTTATGTTAAAAAAAAAAAACAAATTTAACTTTAAACCGATCCTTTTGGTGTAATTTTTTCTAAAGCGACTTCAATAACCTTTTGAATTTTGTGCAAATAGGTCCTTATTACAACACAGAGTTAAACATAATTTCCAAACAAAATGCTATTCCGATTTCTAAGATATATCTTTCGAGAAACTAATCCATAGGAAACTAAAACAAAGAGCTATTTAAAGTTCCGATGACTTCGTGAATACTTGAACCTGAAACTTTAGGTACGGTGAGCAACTCTGTGTCCCGGCCGTCGATTTGCCGGTTGTACAAATAATGTACAAAGGGCGATTGTTCTTTCAAACAATCGCTCACGTAAACTACTAAGTACGCATTGATTTTGACGTTTTAGATAACATAAGCGGAAAATTATGGTAGATTACGAGAAACTGCCGTGTAAGAATCTGTTTAAGATGTTATATAACACTCTAATGGACTTTTTAAGTAATCAAAAATGTTGAGTTGATTATGAATTCTAATTAAATCTTGTATCACAATAAACTTATATTAACGCTTAACAAATTGATTAAATATAGGTAGTATAAACGCACATGTCAAGTGTCGAAATATTGTATATTTGTCTGTTATTTTATCAAAACAATTTGATTTTAAAAGAAGTGAAGATGAAGTATAGATAAGAATATGCAATTTGTTACGCATAACAACATTAACGCTCATGGGAACATTAACAAAATAATCTTATCGCCCATGTCCCGATGGTTTTTGACATTCTTAAAATATAGTCTTAATATAGAAAACTTCTTCATATTCCTATATTGTTCGTTAAGTTTATAGTCTCTACTTATTAAAGGTAAATTGGTATAGAAAAATATATGTAACTATTTAAATATCAAGATTACAATTGGCTTATTCAATTTGTATCAAGAATTGATATGTCATACAAATGTGTCATACATTTAAATATATTCTATGCTCTATATCCAAATATAAAATAAATTCCAGTCTTCCTACATTCATTTGTTAAAGTTAGTTAGTTTTAAACAAACTAATCTCTTTGATTTTCTGGTTCTAAAACTCCCTTCCATTTAAAGCGTATTAGCTTAGTGAAATGGAATAAAGCAACTTTTATATTTTAACTTTTTGTTATATTAATGTTGCTGTAAACTGTTTCAACTCTTTATTTGACATAATAATTCAAATTCCATGCACCTACAGGATTACAAAAAAAAGGAATCTTCAATAAAACCTAAAATTCATGTCCACAGAGTAAGAAACTCGTAATTTTTGTAATAAAAGTTATTTGTGAGAATTGGTAATAATTTATATTTATGTAAAAAGTTAAATACATACCATTCACACCCAAAAAATATATAGAATAAATTTTGTTATTAATTTTTAAAGATTACTTTACATCGGTAAAATAAAAAATTCTTATCAGTTGCATAAAAAGTAATCCTTGTTAAAAACTACATTCTGTTGAAACTATGAAATCATCCACATCTTTCACAAAGAATGCAAAACTAAAGCGTCATTAAGCGCAAGCTATTCAGACTCACGCCCTGAGACCAGCACTCACATTCGCACCGCACCAAAGGAAATAAAGTTTGAATAGTTTTAATAGGGACTAAAAAAACTTTTCCTCCTCTGATGCTATTTCAACAACGGAAAAATTCAGCTGATCATTATTTTGATTGAAATCAACATGTATAATGAATTATAATTATCTTGTGCAAACGATGAAAGGAGATAATTTTGAGACTGAGAGGAGCTTCAACAGTGCCTGGGATTTGCGACCCAGGTGTAAGTTAAAGGAGCACATATCTAACGCACGTTAAACGCTCCATTCTACTATCCAAGCTGAGGAGCTTTTCAAAATTTGGTTAGGTAGAGAGAGGTCACTACTTAACCAAATTTTGATAATAAACCTATAAGGGCTGCCTTTGAAGTACGTTCTAAGAATGAATTAATATGAGTTCTCGACAGGCCCAAGTTTTTTAGTAGGTTGTAAAGAGATTTAGCTGTTTTACCTCTCGTTCCCACTTCTACAACGTACAAATCCACGACAAACCTATTTCGAGTTAGTTCGTTAGTGAGCTCGTAATATTTATTGACCTTGATGATATGGTCTTTGGGGATGTTCTTTTCTCAAAGAACCGTAAGTTTTGTCATCAATATAATATTTTATATAAAATAAGTAATATAACTATATTATTAAGAAATATTATTTTCTTATTATTAGTTTTTAAAGAAATGATAGAAAATGTCATTAGCGATTTGACCGCATCTCTTATCCCTTTATAATACTTAAACTTTCATAACGTTATCATAATCTTTCCGTCATCCGTCCGTTTAGGACAACTTAATTTGATTTCTTTTTAGAATATGTACTTCGTTTTTAACTGCATGTTAAAGTTATTTGCAACGGGCTTTTTTAGTTGAAACTAGATTGTTAGTGAAATATTGTAATTTTGATAATTAGCTTTTTTTTAAATAAGAATGGGTGATTTTTAATAGTAAGAATTAGCTTACTGAGAATTTATATGTGTATTCATTTATGTCAGCAGATCTTAAAATGTTTTAATATTTTAATAAATTACTAGTATTTCATATCAATAAAATATATTAATGCAATTTTGTTACGATGTGAGAAATAGCTCCACAATAAGTTTTTGACTATTTTATTATGCTTTTATATACATACATATGCCATTTTAACAGCCAAGTAATAAACGTAAAAAAATAAGGAATCAATTCTTATTGACTCTTGTTATCCTTCAGACAGCATTAAATTTTAAAATAGTAAAATAGAAATTAATTGAATAATAACACCTTTTTAAT